CATAGTCGCATCTTCTAATCGGAGCGTCAGTAGGCCTTCTTTGCACATGTCCAAACCACCGTAACCGATTTTCTCTCATCTTTCCTTCAATTTCGGCTACTCCTACTTTACCCCGGATATCCTCATTCCTAATCTTATCCTTTCTCGTGTGCCCACACATCCAACGAAGCATCCTCATCTCCGCTACACCCATTTTGTGTACGTGTTGATGTTTCACCGCCCAACATTCTGTGCCATACAGCATCGCCGGCCTTATTGCCGTCCTATAAAATTTTCCCTTGAGCTTCAATGGCATACGGCGGTCACATAACACGCCGGATGCACTCTTCCACTTCATCCATCCAACTTGTATTCTATGGTTGACATCTCCATCTAATTCTCCGTTCTTTTGCAAGATAGATCCTAGGTAACGAAAACGGTCGCTCTTTGGTATTTCTTGATCTCCGATCCTCACCCCTAACTCGTTTTGGCCTCCATTTGCACTGAACTTGCACTCCATATATTCAGTCTTTGATCGGCTTAGGCGAAGACCTTTAGATTCCAACACTTCTCTCCAAAGGTTAAGCTTTGCATTTACCCCTTCCTGAGTTTCATCTATCAACACTATATCGTCTGCGAAAAGCATACACCAAGGAATATCATCTTGAATATGTCCTGTTAACTCATCCATTACCAACGCAAAAAGGTAAGGACTTAAGGATGAGCCTTGATGTAATCCTACAGTTATGGGAAAGCTTTCGGTTTGTCCTTCATGAGTTCTTACGGCAGTCTTTGCTCCTTCATACATATCCTTTATAGCTTGGATATATGCTACTCGTACTCCTTTCTTCTCTAAAATCCTCCAAAGAATGTCTCTTGGGACCCTATCATACGCTTTTTCCAAATCTATAAAGACCATGTGTAAATCCTTTTTCCCATCTCTCTATATCTTTCCATCAATCTTCGTAAGAGATAGATTGCCTCCATGGTTGAGCGCCCTGGCATGAACCCGAATTGGTTGTCCGAAACCCGTGTCTCTTGCCTCAATCTATGCTCAATGACTCTCTCCCAGAGCTTCATTGTATGACTCATTAGCTTAATACCCCTATAGTTCATGCAATTTTGTACGTCGCCCTTATTCTTGTAGATAGGCACCAAAGTGCTCGTTCGCCACTCATTTGGCATCTTCTTCGTTTTCAAAATCCTATTGAAAAGGTCAGTGAGCCATGTTATACCTGTCTCTCCCAAAAGTTTCCACACTTCGATTGGTATATCGTCTGGGCCTATTGCTTTTTTATGCTTCATCTTCTTCAAAGCTACAACCACTTCTTCCTTCCGGATTCGACGATAAAAAGAGTAGTTTCTACACTCTTCTGAGTTACTCAACTCCCCTAAAGAAGCACTCATTTCATGTCCTTCATTGAAGAGATTATGAAAATAACCTCTCCATCTGTCTTTAACCGCGTTCTCTGTAGCAAGAACCTTTCCATCCTCATCCTTGATGCACCTCACTTGGTTTAGGTCCCTTGTCTTCTTTTCCCTTGCTCTAGATAGTTTATAGATATCCAACTCTCCTTCTTTGGTATCTAGTCGTTTATACATATCGTCGTAAGCCGCTAACTTAGCTTCTCTGACAGCTTTCTTCGCCTCTTGCTTCGTTTTTCTATACCTTTCACCATTTTCATCGGTCCTCTCCTTGTATAAGGCTTTACAACATTCCTTCTTAGCCTTCACCTTTGTTTGTACATCCTCATTCCACCACCAAGATTCCTTTTGGTGTGGGGCAAAGCCCTTGGACTCTCCTAATACCTCTTTTGCTACTTTTCGGATACAACTAGCCATGGAATCCCACATTTGGCTAGCTTCCCCCTCTCTATCCCACACACATTGGGTGATTACCTTCTCTTTGAAAATTGCTTGTTTTTCTTCTTTTAGATTCCACCATCTAGTCCTTGGGCACTTCCAAGTCTTGTTCTTTTGTCTTACTCTTTTGATATGTACATCCATCACCAACAAGCGATGTTGATTAGCCACGCTCTCTCCTGGTATAACTTTGCAATCCTTACAAGTTATACGATCCCCTTTCCTCATTAGAAGAAAATCTATTTGTGTTTTTTACGACCCACTCTTGTAGGTGATCACATGTTCTTCTCTCTTCTTAAAGAAGGTGTTGGCTAAGAAGAGATCATATGCCATTGCAAAATCCAAGATAGTTTCCCCATCCTCGTTTCTCTCCCCAAAACCATGGCCACCATGAAAACCTCCATAGTTGCCTGTCTCCCTGCCCACGTGTCCATTTAAATCTCCTCCTATAAATAACTTCTCCGTATGAGCAATTCCTTGCACCAAGTCTCCAAGATCTTCCCAAAATTCTCCTTCGAACTCGTATCCAACCCTACTTGAGGTGCGTACGCACTAATCACATTGATAAGTTCTTGTCCTATTACAATCTTGATTGCCATGATTCTATCTTCTACCCTCTTGACATCTACAACATCTTGTACCAAGGTCTTGTCCACGATGATGCCAACACCGTTTCTCGTTCTATTTGTGCCCGAATACCAAAGTTTAAACCCTGAGTTTTCTAGATCCTTTGCCTTACTACCAACCCACTTAGTTTCTTGTAGGCACATAATATTTATCCTTCTCCTCACCATAACTTCCACTACTTCCATAGATTTTCCCGTTAAGGTTCCTATATTCCACGTTCCTAAACGCATTTTGCTCTCTTGAACTCTACCCTTCTGTCCTAACTTCTTCACCCTCCCCCGTCTAATAGGATCAAAGTACTTCTTTTGTGTGTCCCGGGTAAAGTTGATAGGAGCATATGCTCCCAAACAACTTTGAGTGGAGTCATTCGAAAAGAAGTTTCTATGGCCCCCTTGCTCATTTAACACTGCATCCGGGTGCCGATGGAGATACAGCGACCCTTGCTCACTTATCACTGTGCTCGGGCCACACAGCGCGCCACTTACGCGTGACGCCCTAGCTTTAGCGCGATTTTGTTCTGGATTCATTTTCATAAGGATTCGACGTGATCATGGAGTGCCGGCTGTCGACTACCTGACGCCCTCCCCCTCCTCCTTTATCCTTAACAAAAATGCAAGTTAATCGTAAAATATCACTTGAAGTGTTTCCTGCAAGAAACACATAACTGTGGTGTTTTTAGAACGAAAAATATCTTCCCTAAAAACGCTCATTCATTTAAAATCTTCCAAAATTAACTAACCCCGACTTAAGGTAATGATCCGATTCGATTAATCTGATTCTTGAGGTTAGCTTTTGGAGTGTTACATGGGTTAAAGTGGAAGAGTCGGTGACCCCGCCACTATCGGACGTGCCGCCAACCACATCCAAATCCACATACCACATCCAAATCCCAATCCACATGCATCCGATTCTTTCCATGGTAAGCAACTTTGGACTTGCAGACTTTAATTAATTCATTAAACTTTCAAAATTATGATTTTAATAATATTACGTTGGCAATTTGTAGTGCATACATTGATTAATCATCACGTTACAAACGATGATTACAACTTTTCTTGTGCAAAGCTACAACAAAAAGACAACATGCACAGACAGCGACAGATTTGATTTTGGATTTAGCAAGGAAGAATGGTTTCGAAACAGTGCACCCCGTCAAGTTCCGGAGCAAACCTCGGCAATGTTGACGGCATCATCCTCCGCTGCCGTCCTTGCTGCTGCGCTTGTTTACCACCGTGCTCTGCCGCAGCCACCGCCGCTGCTGAACTAATGCAAGTATTTTACTCGGCCTGGGGCTTCCCGTTCTTGGAGAAGCTCCATCCCAGCTTCTGAATCGTATCCAAGGACATCATCGTACATTGCTGTCACCTTGATCAAGAAAATCTACGGCTCTGATCTGATTCTTGACTTATTTGCAGCAAAGAAACGAATAGAATCGGGTACTTAAAGGGGTCAGGGAAGTGAGAGCAGATGAGAGAGCCGACAAGAAGGTCGGTGGGAATTAGGAGGACGTTTGGTACGAGTTACCACGTGCATGGCTCAAATCGCATTTGTTCGGTCTAACATGTTGTGATTACATGAAGTTGTGATATTTTTTGTCGACTCTATCTATATGGGTGGAGGAGTCCCCACCTAATCTTTTTTTATTTCCTTTCCTCTTATTTAAAACAGATACGGTTAAGTTATATTTACATTTTATATTGAATGTGTATAGAGACAATAAGATAAAAAAACAATGTGTGAAAGGGAAGGGAAGGAGATGTGAATAGAAGGGGAGACACTACTCCATCTATATGCATAGCTGAAAGAAGTTTCGGAAGAGTGCGAGGATGATGTCGTGTCCAAATTCTAGTGGCTTCTGGATGAGATTCGTACGTACCAGAAATGCTAATCACATATCATTATTTATTAAGAGTAATACTAGGAAATTAAATTTGCAAATTAAATGATGTGTTACGAATAAGAAATAAGCACGTTAATTAACATTTAAGCAATACGAAAAGAAAAAAAACACTTAAACAATAATTTAATCATCAATTTCTATGTTATTTAGTTTACAAAATTAAGACTCCTTAGTATTACTTAGTATTATTCATGATCAGGACCATTAACCACTTCACCACATTTCTATCCCCACGCCACGTGATCATATCAAATTGATGATGATGACACGAATATAAATTATGAATAGTCTACGTCAAGGTTTGTTTGGTGTTGCTCAATTTTTTTTTGAAAATCAGCTTCTTAAAAAACTTAGAGCTAAAATTGTGTTTGGTAAAAGAAAAAAAAAGTATTTTTTTTCTTTTCAAAATCGTGAGTTTAAAACAACAAAAATCAGAAGCAGCTCTAATCATGCTTCTCAAAAAAGTTTTTTTCATAGAAGGCGGGTAAACAGTATTCTTTAATGAAACTTTCAAATTGATATAATACCTGTCTTTTTTTTTATTGCTAAATATACTTTTAGCATTATAGTTTACCAAACACTTGCATAATAATCTCAAACTAACCCTTAGATCTATGACATATCAACTCCATCGGTCCAACTATATTTTAAGATTATGCGACCCTCAAACTCTATTTTCTCCATTATAAGAAAGTACAATTATTTACTTAGTACTACAATTTACTTATATTTTCTTCACTTGTACATAAGAAATCTTAGATTTTTTAATGTGGCATGTTTCTGGCATTCAACAAACCAATGGCCACTCGCTCCACAATAATCACAATCCTTCAAAACAGTCTTCACCACGCACACCAAAGTGGCTCCCAACACCGCCACATTCCGTACAAATTACGTCATAGCCAGAGCCAACGCTACCGCCCTGGGTAAAGGCAGTCGCAATCGAAGTAGCGGGCACAATATCAGCAACCGAAAATCATCCCCTTGACAAAGTTGGGCAGCGGCGCTGGAAGCACCACCTGCACCAGCAGCAGAAGGGGGCACGGCTACCGGAGGTGAACCACCGGTTGCGCAAGCATTCAAAAAAAGATCCTCCAGGTTCCTCTTTTCTGCGAGCCTGGCAAAGAGGCCAAGCCAGCATGACTCCACTGACACATTAGCAGATTTCACCAAGGCGCCGATCTTCTCAGCCTATTTAAATCCAGCGTAAAACAAATTTATAAACGAAAGAAACTCGAAAACCTACGTCCTAAGTTAAATATAAACTGCACAAATAAATATATAGATAAAACTATAAGGTGTATATATTCGTAAAAAGGAGGAAATGAGGAGCAGTACTTACAGTGATCGACATGCCATCGTCCTGAAGGATCATGGCTGCGTAGGAGTAAGCAAGCTCGGCGGTCGACATTGTATCGCTTACTGGGTGGCGCAACGCACAAGCAAAGGTTATGGAGGAAACTAGGGTTTTTGGAAATGGGGTTTTATATAGGAATTTATCACGGTTTTTTAAATAATTATGGACCACGGCAATTGTCAACAGCCCCAATTTTCTTTTTACTTTCTTTGGGGGCACAATTTTCACGTAATAAAGCAGTCAGGTAATCGGACGCGGCTCAATGATACGGATGTTTTAGTCAGTAGATTTGATTTTTACAATTAATTGGATTTTTTATTTTCAATCATTCAATACTACGTAGTGCTTCAGAAATATTTCCAATAATCAAGACAATTAGTTAATTAGCTCCATTTTGGAACTGCTTTTGAAGGAGCCAAAAGCACTTTCCAACAGGAGTTTCTTAGAACACAAAAACATCGATAAAGCACTAGCGAAGGCCCCTCTCAGCAAGATTTTCGATGGTGGTAAAATATGTAAAAATTTAATTCAAAAAATAAAAAACTAATAGCCATTAGCCAACATACGTAAATAGCAGACTTGCGAGTCCAAAATGGTAAGAGCTTAAAAAGTACCATGTAGCATCACAACCTTCATAACCAATAGATTTTAGTTTTGTTTTGGGCGCACACAATCAAAACAACCAAGCAACGGAAAATCCGACGATATAGCCTTGGGGAAGATGTCCTGACTGAAACAGACCAAGTATTCTCGACAACATTACGCAACCATTAAATGTAAAATCACTTGGCATTACAAAAACCACATACTGGCCGCACAACTAAGGTTCTTAAAAGTGACATTTTCAACAAGTCGGACATAACAAATCCTCGCATCTAACACCAAGGAAGCCGTGAAGATGACTTTGCCAGAGAATCAGGCACTACCCGACCGCGCCTGAAAACAGATCAAGTTCAAAGTAAGCATCAAGGACATCACATAAATGTTGTCATGTCTTAATAATGCGGCTAGCAGTTGGTGTGGCGTATTTCTTTAACGTTTGCTTTCCATGGGTCTGAGTGCATCTGGCAACAACAGCTAGTTGCTCTAGGTCATTTCTAAAAATTCTATTATCCTACCCCAGACCAAAACTATCCTGCAAAACCTGCTTTTGTTTTTCGGATTACACTTTCAAGTTTATAAATATCGCCTTCCAATGTTATGTGCCACACAAACTTGTTTTATCAGAGCGAGATTCCACTTACCGGACGAGGTGATTCTGACCTTGACCTTGATATTGATCTTGGCCTGCAATAATATAGACATGCATTAAATATCATAAACAAAAACAAGAATTGAAGGACCAGAACCACCTAGTGGAAAATGTATAACAAAGCCACATACCTGGAAGATTTAACAGGAGATGCAGACCTAGATCTTGATACTGATCTTCATACCGATTTTGATACAGATCGCTCCAACGACTTGCTGCATAATACAGAATAACTCCCAAGATGTGGCACACATGGAAGCAAGAAAAACAGAGGAAAATAATGATAAAAAGATAATAAATAAAAGAACTGGGACAGCTCCAGTACCTCCGATTCCTTCTTACACTCCGGCTTCTGCTACGACTTCTACTACGGCTCCTTGAGGGGCTCCTATCGTAATATTTAACCTGTTCAGTTGATGCACAAACAACATGACAATGTTCTTACAGTGCACCTATGTCCAGCTGTCAGCATCATTAGTGTAATGCTTAAGCACATAAACTACTCTAGACCCCTCAAAAGACCTATTCCACGATTACAAAGAAAGATATTTTACACAAAAATCATGGATTTACGATGGTCTAGGAAGCATAGAAACATCTATCCCAAAGAGAGGATATATAAGAAAACTTCCATAAACATAAAAGTTACCCAAATATGAGTTCTTGCCCAAGGATTTTTAAATTCAGTGTCATCAAGCTTCCGGATCTGAAAAGGAAAAAGAAAAACCAAGTGAATTAGCGTGAAGCTTAATGGCAGGTAAAGGTCCTGTATTTCAACAACTCACGGCATATTTCATGTCATCAGAATTGGTATAATCAACTAAGCCATAAGTCCCTGCATACAAACAACAATACCATTTGGTGAGAAGAAACAAAATTAAAAGCATATAAATTCAGGACCAACATCAGCTGCATGGTAATCAGAGCTGAAGTAATGTCGATCTTTGATGAAGTAATATGCTCTTAGGACCGTAGACATTTTATTCTCTGATCCTTAAATCTATACCTTCACTGTCACGAGAAACCTCAGCAAAACACACATCACCAGCTCTACGCATATGATCCTGAAATCAACAACCAGTTAAGACACCAATATTGCAGACATTATTTGAATACAAAATTGTGACTAAGAGTTTCCACACCTTCAAGTCTTGCCAAGAGGCGGAAGAAGGGAGATTTCGAACAATAACTGGACAAAATGAAATTATGGGTCAAGCAATAAACAACAATTAAGAAAAATATATAACTGAACGTTACTTAGACAATTGCAAAGCATGTTTAACTCATTTAGTAATGTACTATCCTAGAAAACACACCTCGATACTCAGAATGACGTGAAACGCCAAACTGACCCCCACCACTGCCTCGGTCATATCCACTACGACGATCACTTGAAGATGGTCCCCTACCACCATGGGCAAGTTCAACCTGTATTGAGATTAAAGGAGACATCAATAAATGAAGCAACCAAAGACATGAAAGAACAAACATATTGTTTTAGTAAGCCTAGGGATCTTTTAGTACCCTTAAACGGCAACCATCAAAGTTATACCCATCACGCCCTCTTATTGCATCTTCTGCATCCCGAGAACTTTCAAACTAAAAACCAAACACATGCAGAGATTACTAGTAATCATATAACAGGTGGTGGCCAAACATACACACAGTAATCCATAAGAGAACCAACAGGGTCTTAATGCATGCATCAAACCATTATAAGTACCTCAACAAATGAATAACACGGAGGACGTGGTGGAATCTTCAGTTCAATATCCACTATGCGGCCATACTGCAAAAGTAAATCCAGTTTAGAATGATTTACTAACTTGAGCATTCCTCACCACAAACAAAACAAAAATACTATCATATCATACATATACATTGAGCAATGTGTTGTTAAGTACATTAAGAATGGAAGTCACTGAATGTACTTTCATATGCATCAGAAACTGGAAATAATTCAAAACACCATGATGAAATGCACTGGTTATGCTAAAATACAAAAAAGAAGCGAAATTCTATGGAAAATTTCATGCAAACCTTGTAGAATAGATCTTCAACCTCCCATTCTTTTATATCTGAGGGAAGGTTGCCAACATAGATTGTGCGAGAAAATCGACCACTCATTTTTTGACACCAGAAGATTCCAGTTCAAAACTTTTTACTGCATTAAAAAAAACAATTCCGATAAATGCTTTGTCCAACAATTTGAAAATAGAATAACACTACAGCTTCAGTGTCCAATTATCATCTGCATACACTCTGTTGACAATATCAAAAGAAAAACAAAACCAAACTATGAAGCAAACCAAGAGAGCAATCCTCGAGGTGAGCCGTGCTCCTCAAGCTCCATTGCTCATTTGCTCCAAAAGTGCTCCAAAGCATTATTTATATTGAAATAAAATTTGATCTCCTCATCCTCTCCAGAATTTTAGCAGATGTATAGATCTTCTGAGAGTGAGCAAGAATCTCCCATAATAAAAATAATACCCATAAGTCCAAAATGATTTCTCCCACTCCCTCTCTATATCCCTATGTACGATTGCAAAGCTCATATTTGTCCAAGCGCTTGCCATCTATCATAAAGAAAGCATCTGTGTCATGGGATCAGGCAAGATTGACATATATTTATGAATTTACCTTACTCAGCCCTCTTTAACATAATTGAAAAACAAAAAAAATGAAAACCCTGGAAAATTAATTCATATCCCTTAGTTAACTTACTTTCACTAACTCTTGCAGAGTTGCATAAATATATACCATATCCAGGGTAGGGGATTGAGATATGAGTCTCTAGGCTCACGTAATTGATAAATCATACAACTACATTCTGAATTTTATCATGGAAAAGCTAGTGAAATAGTGCACTTTCCCAGCTTCATGGATTCTGTTTCTTAACCCAACTTCTCATTAAATTACATGTAGGACAAGAAAACGGTGTAAAATTCTTCCAGTGTAACTAAAAAAAATTTACAAGCTGTACTAGTTGGAGCAATAATAGGGAAGTCCATCATCCTGATTGATGCTCCAATCTGAAAAATTCAAAACAATACATAACCCCGGGAAAGGCAAGAAGGATATAATATTGCATTGCATGCATGGGGATAAGTGAATAAGATGAAACTCATTAATCAAACAATAACACTTTACCTAGAAATGTAAAGAACCCTGCACGGTAGAAGTTCCCTAAATCTATCACCCATAGTTGCTGAACCTATAAGGTATTTGTCTAATATCTACTCCCACAATTACTGTCTGAGACCAGTAAATGAGGCGACGATATGAACAATATCCAAAATAATCTATGGGTTGACCACTGAACCCCTGAACCCCAACCAACCCAGCACTGAACCCCTGAACCCCTGAACCCAGCACTGAACCCCTGAACTGAACCCCTGAACCTCGGGATAAACACCAACCCAGCACTGAACCCCTGAACCTCGGGATAAACACCAACCCAGCACTGAACCCCTGAACCCCATGTCCTAGTCTTATGTTTGGTAAGCCATGATAAAGTAACCGTGATAAAGCAAAAGCTATTCAATATTTCCAAAATAATCTATGGGTTGACCACTTATATAATTACATGTAAAAAACAAAATGAAGTCGCTTCGAAACAGTACAGCAACATTAGTAACATACTTTTTTTATGTCTTTCAATATCAAAAACAAAAGAAAGAGTCCACGAGGTAAATACCAATTGAAAATCGAGATTCTTTCAGATGAAAAAACCCACTTACAACAGCAATCAAGTTTCAAACTTTACTATACTCCATGACAGGTATTGTATGCAGTAGTCAGAGAAACATATCCACAAAATGATGTCAAATTCAAAACCCATACATAATCAAAGATTCAAAACCTATTGGTCGCAGAAAACCCAAAACACAATTGTGCACAGTGTTAACAAACAAGACATGAATCGAACACTCAATGAACAATGACAACGCCTACGAAACCCTAGACATACAGTATAATTAATCCCACAAAACCCCCAAATCAAAAACCCTAATTGCACTAATGCGAACAGAAAGAATTAGATGGGGATACAGGACTAGTATCAAACCGGAAATTGATTGGAGAGCTTAAGAGCTGGACGCGTGCGAAGTAGCCGAAGAGCTTGAGATGTGATCGCTAGGGTTCCGCTTTCGCTCCGTCGAGAAACGAGATGAGAAAATTGGGCTTATACGGTAAACTGCAAGAGAGAGAAAAACTGAGGTCGATTTTCTGATTTACTTGGTCGGTGTGGTAATTAAGTAATTAGGGAAGTGTATTGGGCCTGATATCAACTTTCGGCTTTGGGCCTGATATCAAAATTATAATGTTGGCTCTAATTTTCAGGATCAACTTGCAAGTGGTCCTTACAGAGGTGGAAAAGCGTTGAGTCATTGTATGACGGCGTGGGTTCAAACCCCGTTAGTAGCTAGTCTAACATCTAATCTAACAAAATCTATCGTTTGAAAAAAAAAAAAATTAAGGATCAACTTGGGCGAAGGACCTTGGGCCTTAAAATGAGACAAATTGTGTGACCCAAGACTAAGATCCAGTTTAAAATGCTTATCTGATAAGCACTTGCTAAAAGCGCTTCGCCGGATTATAGCATGTTTACCAACTCAAAATGATGAAGTTCATGAATTGGAGAAGTCAAAAATATGAAAGGTAATGAATTATAAAGTAATTTTGGGTTAGGGATTTGGACTTAATATTTTTAATGCATGAGTAAATACTCTTAATCATTTGAATCAGAAACATTTTCTCAAATTTTCAAGTATTAAATTACTTATGGCTAAGAATCTCACGTACTTTTTTACACCTTGTGTGTTACGCAACAAAAATGGAAAATCAAAATAATTTCAATCGTGGAAGAAAAAATTTTGAAATTCATGTTTACCGACTCAAAGATGAATTTCATGAATCGGAGAAGTAAAAAAATGTGAAAGATAATGAATTAGAAATTAATCCTAGTTAGGAATTCGAGCATAAGACTTTGAATGTGGTAAAGATTCTTAATCATTTGAGTTACAAACTTTAAAAAAAAATATCAAGTATTAAATTACTTATGATAAGAAACTTGCATACTTTTTTATTTTGTGTGTTACACAACAAATATTGAAAATCAAAATAATTTCAATTGTGTCAGCAAATGTAAGGAAAACCATATGAATTGTTTCAGTACCCATGTCAAATAAGTAACATGTGAAAACTAATGTCATTTTTTTTCCAATAAATGAGACCAGTTGATGATTTCGTCACGGCAGTCCATCATTTCAGAGGGACAGAAAGACTCATAGAGGCTTTCAGCCTCTCCCTGGCCACTATGGTGTGATTCACCGGTGTCAAAAATCAAATTCAAGACGTGTCGTGTAGAATACGGGCATGAATTCATCCCCAACTACTGAGTCACCTTGTAATGGTTGAAAACTAATGTCATTTTGTGCTTATCCTTGTTGACTAAATATAACATTACATCCTTTATTTTGCTTCCTCTTCTTTTTTTCTTATTCTTCTGGTCTCTTTCGGAACGTTTTTCAAAGTTTTTGACTTGCAATGTCCTTTCCCCGCTCATTAATCTGTTAACTTATATAAGTAGAAGTCTTGGTTGTCAAGTTAGTCTATTGTCTTCCCAGACCATCCAAATTCCACGTACCTTGTGTGTTGGTTCTAACTTATCAGCTTACAAGTTGATCTATCCAACGTGTTCGATTTAAATGGGAGAGGGAGGACATTTAAATAATTTAATATATCATTAATGGAAAAGGATGAGTCTTAATGCAATGAAAATGTTGTTCTTTTGTTATCGAAATGTCATAATCGAGTCAGAGAAACAGTCTCTTTATAAAGTAATGGTAAGATTGCATACGATAGATTATCTCCCGACCCTCACAAAGCAAGAACCTTATTAACTTATTAACTTTGAATCACCCTTTTATTATATATTAACATAAGCTTAATTAACTTAAACGGCTTGACCTCATGAGGAATACTTTTGACCAGCATGCATATCACCGTATCGGTGTAGAGTATAAACCAAAATCATTGGTTGCACGTCTATCTATTCATTTATTCAGAGTATGTCTACGTCAAAGTATAGCATAAATTTCGCTATATAAAGAAATTTTTTAATATGCACCGGCGTATAGCATACACTGGAATTCTTGGTCAATTGGATCCTTGGTTATTGAATTCTTAATTGCACATCTAATATTTCATTCTTCTAGTACGTCATATCCTGTAACATAATAGAATTTTCGCTATTTATTAGAAGTTTCTAGTGTGTACTATACACCGAAATCTTGAGCATTGGATCCTCAAACCAAACAGTTCCTTTCCATGAATCATTTTTACATGGATTCACTATGATAGTGCTATTCACATACCTATTTTTACCTTCTACACACCCTTGTTAATTTTTTGTCATTAATTTTCTTCAAATGTTTCTTATTCCTGCGCTTGCCATCGCCGGCCCGTGTTAGAATACATATAGTGGTATAATGACAAAGCCCAACAATGGATTCTCCTAAAAAGAAAATTAAAAAAAAAAAGCCCAACAATGGAAGCTTGGGACGAAGCCGAAATCACACTGTGTGGGATTTGAACCTACGACATCGTATTTTGGAGACCCATGTTCTACCGGATTGAATATTTTTTCGATCCATAGCAAAAAAATGAAATGAATGCATAAGAAGTAAAAATAGATGCGTTGATAGCACAACCCTCTCATTAACCTTTGCAATGGCAGTCATCTTTTACTTGTAGTGCAAACTGAGTTCGAAAATAACTGAGACTTGGGACTGAGTGCGAGGAAAAGTGACCCCCTTGTTTACATATTTGTCGGTAACAACAAATTACAACCCCTTTTATTTACATTTTGATGTTGGGGTGTGCTATCCACACACTTCATTTTACTTCTCACACACCCCTTGATAATTTCTGTCCGTTGATCTTCTTCAATTCATCCGATCCGACGGCCAAAAATTAAAAAGGTGTGTGAGAAGTAAAATAGGGTGTGTGGATATCACACCCCTTTGATGTTTTGCTTTGATGGTGCAATGCAGAAGCCATGCGTGAAACTATCGGAGTCTTTGATCCATTTTAAGCACACTGTTGCTAGAGAAGCCACCTGACCAGCCTACTTTCAGTTGTTGTCTATTAGCCTAAAACTGCATGCATTGGGAAATTGCAATATGCTGGCTAAACCCAAGAAGGATCCCCAAATAGAAGTTGAAATTCTCTTTTGATTTCTGTGTTCGGAGTAATTGAATTCAGAAATTCAGACCGCTTAATTAAATTATGCAGTCCTCATTAGCCTATCCCACTAACTCATCTCACAAAAAATGAAATCTTTCAATGATCAAGATCTCTTTCTTAAACGGCTCGAATTTCTGAATCCAGCTGCTCTAGACACATAGATTCGAAGAGGATTTCAACCAAGGGCTAGGCCAGAGGGCTCTGAAATCTGAGAGGGCCCCACGGAATCAGAAAGGGCTGGAGGGCTGGCTGCCAGCCAGCCAGCTCGGAGCTGGCCATTTTTTTTTGATGTTTTATTATTTCTGTCGGTTATAGAGCCGACAGGAATACATTATATTACTTAATATAAATGTATTATTGTCGGTTATAACCGACAGTAATACATTTATACTAAATAATATCAATGTATTCCTGTTGGTTATAATCGACATGATTTCTTAATAAAAAATTCAAATGCAACGGCTAGTAGCCATTGCATTTGATTTTTTTTTTTTTTACAGTTTTATTATTATTTTTTATTTACAAATTTTTTCATATAACTTCTATTTTTTCCTATAACTTTTATTTTACAAAATTTGTTTCATATTTTTTTTAAATTCCATTTTTTCCTATAACTTCTATTTCACAAAATTTGTTTCATTTTATTTTAAGTTGTAGTTTTTAAATAATAAATTATGTTTGGCCTTATGGCCCTCTGGCCCTCGGTTGGAGACGATTTTTTGTGAAAGGGCTAAAATGAGCTCTCTGGCCCTCGGTTGGAGACGGAGGCAAATATGGTAATGTACTGTTCATTAAAATATTAATATATTGGAGGATCTTGGAGGGCCAGAGGGTTAAAACGAGCCCTCTGGCCAGCCATCGGTTGGAGATGGCCTAAAAGGCATAAGTTTTATTTTTCGGTCAAAGGGTAAATTTTATACCAGCGAAGAACAAGTATAAATATGAGACAAGTTAAGCATATGAGTAAAAAGTGAACCTCAAAACGCACAAAATAGAGCCTAAAGTCAGCTTTAGATCCCATCACAAACAAAAAAAAAGGAACTTTAACGAAAAGCTTCCGATTCTGTTCACTTTAACGAAAAATCACATTTTTACACTAAAAAGTCAATCATGGTACTATTCACTTTACTCTTTATTTTGTCATTATCTTTAAAACTCAAGATTTTCAAGTCATTTTCATTAGTTTTCCTAAAAAAAAAAAACCCTAAGTAATCTATAACCCCTTCCGCCACCATAGCATCGGAGATCCACCACCACACTTCAGCCTAAAATTCGACCAAACGACGCTCCCAAGAAGGAATGAACACAGAGCTCCATCATCTTTGAAATGGACTTGGCTTCTCTGCCCTCCCACTTCCCATACACTCCCATCCTCTCCTATTTATGCGATCACGGTTAAGCCACGTCAACATTTTATATTACTATTGCTTTTTGTCTTATTATCTCTATACAAAAATTAATATAAAATGTTAACGTGCCTTAACCGTGACCATACAAAATAGAAGGATATGAGAATGTATGGGAAGTGGGGGGCAGAGAAGCCGGGTCCCTTTGCAACAGCACCACACAAATCGCCTCCACAAACACAAGTAGCTCATGGGAATACATAGCCCAAATGCAATGGTGCCAATAAAAACAAACAGATGGAAAGTAACGGTGTAAACACCCAAGCCAAAGCACTACACACCCTTCGATAAACCAGCATGAAAGTGCATGAAGGATATATGGATGCATATGAGTATTTATCAAAAATAGCCAAAAATTAACCCTTAATTTCAAAAATGTCACTTTTTATAAAATATTTCAAATATATCGAAAATTCCATCTAAATAGACACAAATACCCTTAAATTTAACAATCAAATAAATTAAAGACTTTTTAGCTAAAATAATTCGTGACATTGACATAACTTCTTAATCTGGTCCTTAACAATTAATGATAATCAATAGTAGTGTTCTTGAATTTATCTATCATAAATCAT